ATTACTGTACGTTTATATTAAAAAAAAGTGCTAAGAGAATTTATCTTCTGTGGAGTCCAGTCTCACTGGGAACTGGATTGAGAAACTAGTTTAACATTGGACTCTTGCAGTCAACAGGCAGGAGAGACTTTGATCCCATCAATCTACTGAATTCACATCTAGAGGTGAAAGGTCAGAAGACCAACCAGCCCTCGTTAAATCATTTTACTTGTGGTTTCTTGTGATCTCCCAAGTGTGACCAATCAGTTATATGAAAGACAGCATTAGCTTTGCATCAATGACTGCCTTTGTAATAACCTTGTTGTCTTAAGAACAACAGTGGCACATTATGACCTAACCAGACTGGCATTAGTGGCTTTTTTTTAATAATTGGCTGAACTTTCAAAATGCAAACAAGTCATGTTTCATGATAATGTTCAGAAGCAGAAAACCCGATCAGATGCAACTTTGAATTAGATTTATTGTAATTTTTTGTGTAGCTCTCAGTATATTGCTGATGCTGTGCTGAATCCCAGCCAAGCAAGTGGATTTGCTGATGTCTGCGCAGTGTTGCGTTCTCTATTCTTATTCGGTGCAGTATAAATGTGGGTTGAGCATATGACTCGAGTGAATCATCGTGGAGACCCGCTGCTGAGACCACCTTAAGGTGCTTTGGGCAACCCTTCTATTCACACCAGAGTGGTGGAGTTAGGCCCTGTTCTCCATTACTGCCTTGAAAGTTCTTTATTGGTTGAGTGATAGCAGCCATCTCCAAAATAACATCCATTAACTTTCAAAAGGGAATTGGATAGGTACTTGAAAAGGAAAAATTGCAATGGTATGGGGAAAGAACCGGGGAGTGGGACTGATTGGGTAGCTCTTCCAAAGAACCAGCACAGGCATAATGGGCCGACTGGCCTTCTGTGCTGTAATATTCTATAATAAGAATGGATTTTTTTTAAAATCAAAATTCATGGCATATGACTGAAACAGTCACTAAGCAATGACTGAGATGATCACTGTGGGCATCTTTGTACACTTGTTGATGCAAAGTAAGTTGGATCACTGATGTAATAATGGCAGTTGTCAGGTGAAAAACGTAAAGTTGGCACTGCTGGAGATTCAAAACAAATGTCTCCACAACTACAAACCATCAGCAAAGTTTGTTGGTCAGAAGATAAGAGGCAAAAGACCAGGGCAAAATACTGCCAAGGGTCAGCAAGTCTGCTCTTTTTGGGTGAAAGCAGCAAGAAACACCACATCTTACAATATTCTTTAAAGGGTTTGATTAAAGACGATTGTGGCCTTATTGAAATCAAACAAACTGGTGAAGATTCTCAATTCAGAATCCTTGTTGATGTTTCATTCTTTGCTGGAAAACTGATACTTTAGAGAAATAGAGGATGCAGTGCACACGTCTGTATTGGTGCGATATCTGCTAACATATTCTGACCCTTGTGCTGTGGTAGTTTATTGAGCACCATTATCCCATGTAAATTTGGATGAAAATATTAATCTGACCCAGTAGTGTTTTGCTAGTAAATTTGGCCCTGAACAAGTTAATGCTGTTAGTTATCTAAGTTTCTGTAGCTACTGTATATGCTAAACAATATTATGACTAGTAGTCAGCACATTCGTAAGATCAGAACAAATCCTCCTTTTAAGGAAATTGGTTACGGACCTCAGCGATTGGAAACAATGGGACTGTATTCATAGTTTGTTCCTTGTGCTGAGACCTTAAGTATTATTTAAGAGATACTTTTAAGAGTAGACTTATTCTCCCTTTCCACCCTGTGTACCCCCGCCCCTCAAAAAACACTCCATTGGGAATCACTTGTTTAACTTTTTATGGGAAACAAATTCCATTTCCAAGAGAGTTAGTGCTTAGAAAGCATTAACTGGCCCAGAAGGAGCATTTGAGTTGGTATTCTGTGACTCATTTATTCGTGGAATTTATTTTGCTGCTTCATGACACAGCCTCACTCCAGACCGACACTGATTGGTTTCACATTCAACACAATTAGCACCTGTGTCTATGTGCCAGCTTTACTGCACACTGTCCTTCAATTTACAAGAAAAGACTGTTATTTGCCCATACTGCAGGCTGGGGGAACAAGGGATGATACCAACCAGTGAACTAATCACACTTGTTGCGTTTATTTGTTAGAAAATGGGTCAAGTGTAAACGAGTGACCAATTAAGATGATTTGGGCTTGGCGGCTGTCTTGTGTGCCAAGCTGCAGGATGCCTGGCACACTCTGCATTTCTTAGCATTGTACCATTAGCACTTTGTGCCTGCTGATTGGCAAAATTCTTCTCAGCGGGTACACATGGAGAAACTAAAGGGCATCTTTGTCTTTTCATATCTCTGGAATTGCATTTTAAGGGAACATAATGTGTTCGTCTTTGGGCTTTGTCTAGACAAGCTTATGTGTACCAGTGAATTTTGCCGTTTATGAAAGACCTAGCTATAATTTTCCTGGCTGGCTTTCTGCGCCTGTGTCAGTGAATGTGGAAGTTCTGACTGGTAATCGTGTCTGTTATAACACAGGTTGGGAATTTATGAATCGCAGCTACTTCCTTACGGGGTTACATGTTAGGAGTTGATGAAATACATTACATTTGTGGGATTAAGCTTTCTAACTAACTGGTTGAATTTATTTTGTTAGAATACAAATATCTGAATGTCTCCTCCTGCTCTCCTGAGATTTTGTCTGTTGATTGGGTGGGAAACTTCAGTTAAAGAGCATTTCTCTTTCCAGTGTGCTTGCGTGCATTCAACTTTTCGGTCGTCTCTGTCTGCTTCAGAATAATGTGTTTTACTGTATGAAAATTAATAGCCAAGGTAGTGCAGCAATTAGGTGTTGGTCTGTGCAGCTCACATTCTAACTTCAAACAGATAATTCTAGGAAGGAAAATTCTGAGAAATAATTGTTCCTAGCCACTTTTCTAACCAATTATTACTTTAGAGTAGCATTGACTGAGGTCTGAGATTAGATCATCAGCTCTTTTGACTTTGGAAAGTGTGGGAGACTGGGAAAGAAAGAAAATATATTAATAGTGAGTCAGGGAATACATCATAAATATTCTGCAGTTAAATATCATCTTGGTACTCTGTCATGCTTATGCAAAAATAGTGTTCAGGCACAATGCTCCTTTATAGAGAAGATTTGGAAGGGCTATAGTTTTCAACTGGAGATCTATATAACTGGAAATAGATTAAAATGTTCTATTCTCCATTGGAGATTAGTTTGCAAACTATGGTATGAAGACAGAAATGAAACATTTACCAAATATGGGTCATGTTCTATTCATGTTTAATTGGATTAGATTTATTCCCAAATAATCTTGTGGAGAATGGGGACATTTTATCCTATATCCAGTTACATTTCAAAGATCTACAGTTGAATATGATAACCTTTACTGAATCCTTAACATACAACAACTTGCACTTATATAGCACCCTCCATGCAGGGTAGCATCTCAGAGAGCTTAACAGTGGCGGATCCTGACTCTGAGCCGGTGAGTGGGGGGAGGTGGCCGTAAGCACGGTCAAAGAGGAAGGCTTTCAGGCGAGACTTGATAAAGGGGAGAGTGCGGGCAAGGCGGAGAGATTGAGGGAGAGTGTTCCAGAGATTTGGGGCATATTGGCTGAAAGCACGACCTCCAATGGTGAGGTGGAGGGTGGGAGGGACGAGCAGGAGGCCAGTGGTAGTCGAGCGGAGTCGCTGGGTAATGGATTGGGGAGTGAGGAGGTCAGAGAGGTAGGGAAGTGCCAGGGAGAGAATGGATTTGAACACAAGTGTGAGGATCTTGAAGTCGATCTGTTCGGAGATGGGGAGCCAGTGGAGCCTGGGCCAGAAGTGGTGAGATGTGGGTACGGAGTTTGTTCCGGGTCAGTATGTGGGCGGCAGAGTCTGAATGAGCTGATTCTGTGAATGGTGGAGTTGGGGAGACCGGCGAGGAGTGTGTTTGAGTAATCCAAGTGGGAGGTGACAAACACATGCACAAGGGTTTCAGCTGCATTTGGGGTAAGGTACGGTTGGAGGCGGGCAATATAGCGGAGGTGGAAGAAAGTGGTCCTGGTCAGGGACCCGATGTGGGAGATGAAGGCCAGCTGGGGGTCGAACGGGCGGCTAGGTTGTGTTCTGGTTTGGTGAGTTTCAAGCAGAGCCCATGGAGGTTGAGGAGTTTAGATCCACAGGAGTGAAGGCGTTGATGGGAGCCAAGGAGTATGGCTTCCGTCTTGTCCATATTCAGCTGCAGGAAGTTTACACTCATCCAGGCCCTGATGTCTGCCAGACAAGCTGATAGAACATCGGTGGACCTGGAATCGCAGCTGGAGGAGGCAAAGTAGATTTGTGTGTCATCCGCAAACATGTGGAAGTTTACACCATGTCTGTGGATGACGTCGCCAAGAGGGAGCATATAGATAAGGAAAAGAAGAGGCCAAGGATGGAGCCCTGGGGAACCCCACAGGTGACCAGGCGGGGACAGGAGGAGAAATACACAAAACATGTATACACCACCAAAATATACATACATACAACGTACAAACATACCGGCTTTTGCTGAGATGAATTGAAGGCGGTTGGGTAAGTAGGACTTGAACCATTCGAATGCGGTCCCACTAAGGTGGATGAGGGAGGGGAGGCGGCGGAGGAGGATGGCGAGGTCGACTGTGTCGAACACGGCAGAGAGATCCGGGAGGACGAGGAGGCAGAGGGAGCCCTGGTCAGAGATAGGGAGGATGTCATTTGTGACTTTGACAAGCGTTGACTCTGTGCTGTGGGCAGTCAGGGCAAAAACCAGACTAGGGGCTCGAGGAGGGAGAGTTGTGACCGAAGTTGACCTGAAATTGTCCATTGGTTCTGTAAGATTGGGTAAGCAGCTGGGGAGGAATGCCTAGGAACAGTATAAGAAAATCTTAACGACAGAGAATGTCAAATGTATTTAAAAATGATTTGAAATTGATGTTTCAATAACTTAATTTCTAAACTAATGGGATTGCTTTATTCCAGAAACTGGAAGCTAAATCGCTGATCAAGTTGAATTACCACAAAAACAGTGAAGGTATGTTATTGCGTCTAAGTTCACTCAAAGGCTCCTGGCAAAATGTTCAATGAAATGTAAGAATTGCACCAATTGTAAATGATGTGCGGCATGATGTGAATGAGAATGGCACCAACATACAATATAAATTAGTCGCTCCTTGTAAGCAAGCTGTGCATCCACAGCAGCATTAGAAGCACTTTCAACACTTATGCAAAAGCCCAGGTAAGAAGAAAGCAGCACCATGGGACAAATAGAAGCGAGTAAATATTTGATTCAGAACAATTCAGGGAAAACAATGTTAATAATCCTTGTGTTTAATAATAAAACGATAATAATCCTTGCATTTGATACAGTGCTTTTCACGTCTTCTAGACGTCTCAAAGCGCTTCACAGAATATACTGTAGAGTGAATTGACTGTATATTTGTGGGCAAACGCGGCAGCAATGTCCCACAAACAGTCATGGATTGAAAATGACCAATTTATTATTGTTTTGTTTTGGAAGGATTATTATTAGGCTCTGTGTGGAGTAAGGAAACTTGCCCGAGGTTTCGCCCTCTGCCTGGAATTGAACTCAGGTCTCTCACTTGCAAAGCGAGTGCTCTAACCACTGAGCTACAGGACTCCACGATACAGCACCTTTCATGTGGGGTAGAGGACAGCAGATGATGGGTTAAAGAGATGTTAAAGAGGTCCTAACACCTGTTTAACCCATCACTTACTATCCTCTACCCCATTTTGTCCTTTGTCGTCCTTGCCCTCCCCCACCCCTCACCCTCTGTTAGTCCTTAAAAGCCTCTCTCTCCCAACATGCCCCAGTTCTGATGAAGGGTCGTGGGCCTGAAACGTTGACTCACTTTCCTTTCTCCATAGATGCTGCCTGACCTGCTGAGTGTTCCCAGGCACTTCTGTTTTTGTTTTCAGATTTCCAGCATCTGCAGTATTTCATGTTTTGTTTATAAATATCTATCCACCTCAGTCTTGAAAATTTGAGTGCATCCACAGCCTTTTGGGGGGAAGAGAGTTTACCCTTTGAATGAAAAACTGCCTCTTTCACTCCTAAATGGCCTAGCTGTAATTTAAAGATTATGCCCCCCGTTCTGGATTCCCCGACCAGAGGAAATAGTTTCTCTGTATCTACCCTGTCGAATCCCTTTTATCTTGTTATGCCTACAAATCTGTGCCTAATTTGTAGGCAGTTTTTGAATGCTGCACAGCAAATCAGTTTGTGTGGTGGTTTGCTCGCACTTCATCTGAACATATTCCAAGTGACATTTATAACTGCACAAACAATTCTTTCTTTTTTTGATGCATGGAAAGCCTTAAATTGACACTGCTGGATTGAGTTAAGTGGTTAGTCACTCATTTAATAACTTTAGCTGAGTAGCAATGCAGCAGAAAGAGAACATTAGAGGATATCCATTCATCTTGTAAAGTGATTTTTGAGTTTCTGAAAATAGACAAAGAGCAAGTTGAGTCATTCTCATTGAATCATGACCAAACTAATAAAGACAGTTTTAAAACTGCAGAGCATGCCTCCTCTGTGTCTTTCTATTAATTGGTGTTGAGCCAGCTCACAGTGCAATCTACACTGGCTGCCCTCATGCTGTCAGTGCCCATTCTTCATTGTTGTAAATATATTTGAGTATATCCTATCAGGTCACACTGTTGCTAAGCAGACACAATAATGCCAGAATTGGTTGATTTTGAATAAATCATATCCGAATGGCTTTGTCTTTGAATTGATGTTTCATGTACCGATGGTACATGTAATCCTACAAGATCCTTTCTTTTCAGATCAGTGTTGTGATTTTTTTTCTGTCATCTTGTGAATTTTGCATAAATTTATTCAAACCACCTGTCTAAAATTATTAAGCAATTAGAGACACCCACTAAACACACAATGTATGGATTTAGATCAGATTTCATCATAGCAGCCTGTTCAGATTAGTATTCTCAATGTTGTAGCAATTAGTGCAACACAGGATCAAAGATACAGTCTGTGTTGAAATTAAATGTAATCTGAGACATTGAATTTGTCTGGGTCTCTCCAAAGCCCTCATTATACTTTGTATAATGTTAGAGGTAATTTGGGAGGAGACATGCTCTGATTTGACCTGACACATTAAAAGGAATGCACACAAGATATCAAATGGTTTCTTAAGACTATGCCATATGAAAGCATAAAATGCAGTTCAGCAAGGAGGAATTGAGAGACTTGGGCAAGGCACTTTCTCCACTTGTGTAAAGACATCTATTTTAGCTAAAGTTGAGAGGCATTAATGATGTACACGTCGCCTTTAAGTGACATGTTGACCTTTCAGTTGACTGAAGTGGCTGTTCTTTTTTCACTCATGACTTTGCAAAATTATTCCCAGTTTGCTTTGATAGAATAACTCCAAATGTTTACTGCTGACAATAATAAATTGCATTTATATATATCCATCACATAAAAATAAAGAGCAACACTAATTTTCCTTTACTTTCAATGCCTTTATTGTTGGGAGGACATCTCAAAGCACTTCACAGAGCTACCCTGTGTGAGGGGCACTATATAAATGCTAGTTGTTGTTTATCACAAAGTAAATAATAAAATCATATACAGTCTACAAGATTGTTGGTAGGCAACACAGCAGTTAATCTGTACCTGCAATGTCCCACAAACAATAAGTTAATTATAATTGAGGTAGAAGAAACAATAGAAGAAAGGGAAAAGAAAAAAAAGTAAAAGTTGAGAAAAATAAAATGGAAGACAGAGAGGTGGAGAGTTCAGGATTGATGATGGCGAGATTGTGGCTGTTGTTGATGCTGAATCAGAAATCTTTGAAATTGTACAAGTTGGATTTTTGATGTTGACTGGCCATTAAGCAGTATTAAACTGTGATATGATCTACCCAGGTAACAACTTTGCTTGATGTGGTTCCAAAATCCAATTCCTCAAACCTGCGCTGCTGGTTTCTTACCATTATTTGGTGGTTTTCCAATGCCCCAGCTGTATTATGCCACGCTTGTACTTTGAAACACATTGGTTTAATTTATTCCCCTGTAGCCCAAGGATTGTTAGTTCAGTGGCCAAGTTGTGTGTATTGCTGCTCGGCATGTTGCACCACTCGAGGCATTTTTATCAGCTTATCATGAGGATCTACTGCTTTTTGCGACAAACAATAATTGCAAAAGTTTCCTTGTATCTAAATGTTGGACACAGTAGAGAGCACATGATCTGCACAAATTAGGAGCTGTTCCATTGTGGAACTGGAAATGGTCATCGCTCAAAATACAGACTAACAGCAATGCTACCAAAAACTTCTTCTATCTGCATAAATGTTGGATTCCATTATATGTTATTTCATAACTTTGTGGGACTATTGTGGAGTCCTGTAGCTCACTGGTTAGAGCACTCGGCTCGCAAGCGAGAGACCTGGGTTTGATTCCCGGGCAGGGCGAAAATTTGGACAAGTTTTCTTACTCCACATGCCTCTGATTACCAAGCAGTAAGTAGGAACCCAGTTGTTAGTCGATTGATGGATCGCTTTTCCGGGAGTAATAATTCCTTTAAAAAAATAATAAAATCGGTCACTTCAATCCACGACTGTTTGTGGGTCACCGCTGTGCACAATTGGCTGCCACATTTCGCCCATAAAATATGCAGTCAATTCACTTTACAATATATTCTGTGAAGCGCTTTGAGAAGTCTCGAAGACGTGATAAGGCGCTGTATCAAATGCCAGGATCATTATTATTATCACTCTGTGTAAATTGACTGCTGCATTTGTGTAAAATATGCACAATCTGTATATCCTGTGAAGCCCTTTGAGATCTTCTCCCGAGGTGAAAGGCACTGTATGAAATGCAAGGATGATTATTGTTATTCTTTTATATTCTGATCACTGAAGCACCACCTACCACATAGTTCCAGAGTGATCGAGATCTACTGGTTGCTTACTTTTTCTTGAGGGGTTATTATCAGATGTGTGGAGTAAGCAAACTTGCCCAAGGTTTCACCCTGCTGGGAATTGAACCCAGGTCTCTCGCTTGCCAAGCGAGTACTCTAACCACTGAGCTACAGGACTCCATGTAGTGCGGAACGTAGTGTGGAAAGAAGAAAAAAATCCTAAAAAAGGGAAAGTATTCCCCCTTTGGCTAGAGTAATTGCTATTTAAGCGAATTGTAATATTGTTCCTAATATTTCAGGTCTTGCATCTTCATTTGTTTATCCAGGGAGGTGACTGATTACCACAATGACATTGTTCTTTCATTTGTGTGGAAATTCTATGTGTGCATGATTGCATGTGTGTTTGCGATTTTGTTTCTCCCACCACAGCAGTATAAATATTGAAGGACATTAGGATCAAAATGGTTGTGTACTATGTGCCTTTTGTGACTGTTCGGTCTCTGTAAGTTGTCCTCTGTTGGCAAAGGAGACCGGTTTGGAAGATTTATTGCAGTATGAGCAGGGAAGAAAGGGGCAGTTACATTGACTGACATTTTCTCTTCACTTAGGAAAGTACCACTGCCCAGTGATGTACTCCGTCTTCACAAACAATTCTCATATTGTGACCATCAAGGCTACAGGAAACGTGTACTCGTTTGAGGTAGGTGTTTCTATGGATAATTGTGAATTAGTTTTCTCATTTCCAACTTTTTTTTGTACATGCCAATAAGGGGATTCATTTTTGAAGAAACGATGGCCGGTCAGGCAGAAGGCAACAGATGTGCCTGTCTGACTGTCTGGATTTATCTCTACAGCAGCTTCATCTGATTAAATACTTTCAGTCAGTGGCTGATCATCACATCCAAATCCTTTTACTTTTGTACCTTTGTCATTGGGGAAGGAGAAGAGTGAGGATCTCAATGACATACTGATTGCTTTCATACTGTAACTGGGGCCCATCAATTTGTTTCTTAAAACAATTATCCTGCTGGTTGTATTAATGCCAGGCCAGTCCTAAACGCAATTTTGATGCAAATTTGCCTGCAGTGTTAATCTGTCTCTGGGATTTCCATGTGTAGATAGGTTGCATGGAAATCTCAGTTTGGTTTAGATACTCTTAAGCACGGTGATGGGTTTCCACATGGGTCAGGCACCCAGCTGACAAAAAAAATTATACAACAACAAGATTACATTTGTATAGCGCCTTTCACGTCGGGAGGACGTCCCAAGGCGCTGGACAGAATACAGCATCAGCATTTCAGACCCGAGCTGGGGTTAGGGGGGTGGTAAGGGAGGGGAGGGGAAGAGAAGGGGGGGTGGCCGATGGCATGGTCGAAGAGGAGGGTCTTGAGGCGGGACTTGAAGAAGGCTTAGGAAGGGGCGAGGCGGAGTGACTGGGGGATGGAATTCCAGAGATTGGGGGCAGAATGGCTGAATATGACACATTAATATTGATTCATTGTGAAAACAAAATTTACGCAAAAAGTACAGGACAGTTCAGTTGAACTTCGTTATAAAGGAGTTGTCGGGGTCCATATGTTTCCAGTCTGGCTCATTACACGAGCATTATAATCAGAGCAGCCACTGGTCAGTGATACCCAGGTGTGACATCGCTGATCACTTGCCCAGTCATGTCACTGCTCACGTATAATGCTTCATTGGTTTATATCGCGCTTAAGTCTCATCATCGCTCTTCAAACCATGTCTTCAATCCCTGCTGTTGCGTTTTGAAACCCAACAATGGGATTTCAAGCGTAATTCGAAGTGCAACAGTGGAATTGGGTAAAACAGTGCTGAGCTTTGAAATTTTTAGGATTTGTTTTTTTTAAAAAAAAAGGGAGTCCACAACTCGATCACATTATACAAACCTGTATTATAAATGTGTTCTGCTGTATAACTTAGAAATTATACTAATGTTCATAGCCATTCATTGGGGAGACATTTTAGCAATCTCTCTTGCAGCTTGGCATCTGAAAGGGAGTTTAATCACACGCTTTGTTAGTATGAAACTGTTCTATAAATGTAATAGCTCTCATGAATAAGTAAGGAATGGTAATCTGTTTTTATCAAAAATATTTGAATTTTTGTTCAGAAAAGACTTATTTATGAGAAGCTGATCAGCACTTTATTAAATCCATATTTCCTAAAGAAGCACAGAATATCAATTGGCTGGGGTTTGTGCTCTTAGCTATTTTAAATCTTGTAATATGGTATGTGAACAATCTTTGGAACAATTGGAGGTCAAATTGTTTATTCCCTTCTTCCAGTTATAAATGCCGAACCATTCTCTACTTTCAGCATTGAACTTGAGGGCATTGATTTGACAAATTCTGATCACGTGGTACAGATTTTGTTGTTTGTCTCTATGTTGTGTTTTTCTCCACGTCAACAACTGACTTGGCACAGGTGACAGGTTACTGCGATACTTCACTTGATTTGAACTGAAGTGCATTTACACCGGGAAGGGAAAGAGGCAATTCAGCCCATAGAGGCTGATGTGGCTCTCAAAGCAAGCAGTTACAGATGGCGGTTGCAATATGCTTACCTTGTATGGATATTCCCCTCCCCTCCCCTCCCCTCTCGACTCTCTTCCCCCTCCTCGCTCCCTCCCTTCCCTCCCTCACCCTGACCATTTCCCCCTCCTTGCTCCCTCCCTTCCCTCACCCTGACCATTTCCCCCTCCTCGCTCCCTCCCTTCCCTCCCCTCACCCTGACCATTTCCCCCCTGCTCGGGTCATGACCCAACTGTGCAGCGCCTTGGGACGTCCTCCTGACGTGAAAGGCGCTTTATAAATGGAATCTTGTTGTTGTTGTTGTTGTGGTTCAAATTCAACCTGTGGTTTCTGAACTAACTCCTGTAGTCATAGTTTAGACCGTGATCTCCAGATGCTGTCTGTAAAGACTTGGGTTGTGAATTGTGCAAAATCAAATTGAAGCATTGCAAGATTTAATTAAAGCATGTTGGGAGTTTAACTAGACTTCAAATGGGAAGGAATTGTACTCTGGTTTAGATTTACTCTTATTTTCTTAGCTTTTCAGATAATCCACAAGTTGGCTAATAGTTGAATTCAGTCTTAACATTGAACAACAAAATTACATTTGTGAAGCGCCTTCTATGTCGGGAAGACGTCCCAAGGCGCTGAACAGTTGGGGATCAGGACCCGAGCATGGGGGGCAGGGTTGGGATGAGGGAGAGCAGAGTGGTAGGAGGGTACGGCACGGTTGAAAAGGAGGGTCTTGAGTCGTACCTTGAAGGAGGCAAGGGAGGGAGCAAAGTGAAGGGATTGTGAGATGAAGTTCCAAAGAGTGTGGGCAGAGAGGCTGAAAACCCGGCTGTTGATGGTTGGGCGGGTCGAGCTGGAGCAATGGAGCAGGTCCAAACTTGCTGAACAGAGGGAGCGGACAGGTTGATAGGGGGTTAGCAGGTCAGGGAGGTAGGAGGGGGCAAGGCCATGGAGGACATTGAAAGTGAGGATGAGGATTTTGAATTCTATCCTCTGGGGGATGGGGAGTCAGTGGAGCCAGGCGAGGGTGGGGCTGATGGGGTCACGGAGCCTGGTGCAGGAGAGGACACGAGCTGCAGAGTTCTGGATGATCTGTAGCTTGTGGAGGGAAGAGTTGAGGAGGCCAACTAGGAGGCAGTTTCCATAGTTGAGCCTTGAGTTGACGAATGTGTGTATGGACCTGAGGGCTGAGGCAGTGGCAGAGTCGGGCAATGTTGCAGAGGTGGGGGAAGACAGAGTGGCTCATGACACGGATATGGGAGAGAAAGTTGAGGGTCTCACAAAACCCCCAGGTTGAATCCTGATTTCTGTAGTTATTTAAAGAACTTACAGGAAAAAGTGGCTTCAAACTGAAGACTGCATTTAAGAATTTGCCAAATTCTGGATGCTCCAAAATGCTAAGAAAATAAGAATAAGTCTAGACCCAGGTGGAATTTTCCCCAAAGGATGGTTGGAATCTTTGGACTGCAGCACAGATTGTGCATTTATTGAATCTGTTAAGAATATAACCAGATTCCTGGCATCAAAAAACATAACAACAAGGAGAACGGGTTGGAAAATGGTATTTCAAAGCAAACAGAATTCAATCAGTCACCTGTGGTTTAGATGTGCTCTAGTACACCACATTTGAATCCTAGCATCATGGAATTATACAGCACAGAAAGAGGCCATTCGGCCCGTCGTGCCCCTGCCAGCTCTTGAAAGAGCTGTCCAAATTAATCCCACAGCCCCGCTCTCTCCCCATAGTTTTGCAAATTTGGCCTCTCCAGATAGCTATCCACTTCTCTCTTGAAAGTTCTTATCAAATCTGCTACCACTACCCTTTCAGGCGATGCATACCAGATCCAAACAACTCACTGTGAAAAGATTTCTCCTCATCTCCCCTCTGGTTCTTTTGACAAGGAGTCATGTGCGGGCGCAAATTGACTTGCAGCGGCCTTTTGATCTTGGTGATTATATGAGGAACTTATTCATTCAATATTGAATCCAGCATAATCCGGTTGCAAGATTTATGGCAATAATTTCAAAGGGATCTTCTTTAGAATTGTTGTTAGATATGCTGCAAAAGAGGCCTTTGAAATTACTGCAATAAATCTTATGTTCAGCCTGTTTGGCTCAACATAAAAAGAGAGAAGAATAGACTTTCTTTATGACATCTGGGATCTAATGACTTCTGCTTGACTCAGTTCCTCTTTCTATTTTTCCTTTCATATCCTCAGCTTAAAGTTATTACAAATCAGTTTATGCCCTGACAACCCCATACCTCTTCGACCTGCTCCCTTTGCTCTGCTAGTTCCGCCCTGCACGTCCCTTCCACTCCACCATCGGTGGCCGTGCTTTCAGTCACCAAGCCCCAGCAGAAACTCCCTATTTCGAATAGTGCCATGGCATCTTTAACATCCACCTAAACAGGTGGGTGGACCTCGGTTTAAGTTCTCATCCAAATAACAATGCAACATTGCATTTGAGTGTCAGCTTAGACTAAGTGATTCCAAGTCCCAATGTTGGGCTTGAACCCACAACCTTCAGAGCCGAGAGTGAGCGAGGCTGACACACATATACATATCTCGTGTATATATACGTGAAATTAGGTAAATCATAGTTTTCTGTTTATTGTAAGCTAAGGAGAACCATATTGGAGAAGAGACTGGGAAAAACGACTATTTTAATTCTGTCATAGAATTTGGGGGAGACGGTCACATCTGGTAGAATTTCATATGCATCTTAAAATTATAAATATCCTATTGTTTTTATGCAGGCTGTGGAACAGTTGAATATTAAGACCAAGACGTACAAAGACCTGTTGAATGATGAACCTTTCAAACGCAACGATATTATCACACTGCAGGTACAAAGCACCTTCCTACTTCATGTTGCATGAAGGCTGCGTATCTCAGCCTTGACATTCTGTATTCCCACAGCTCTGTTTGACTAAACGTATCTGTCTTTATATAACGATTGTATCTTGATCACTTTATCATCTGGAACTAATCCTTCCTGCTAAACCTTGACTGTGGCTGCACAAAGGATGGGAACCCTTAAGGGATGTGAAGTGGCCGGGGAGGAAGGTGTGTGCATTGGGGGAGGGGGAGGTGCCCACTGGGTGTATATTGAAACAACAGTTTGCATTTATACAACGCCTTCATGCGGGGTAACATCGCAGAGCAGCTAACTTAGAAAGTTATTTTGCTGTTCCAAATTTAATTTGTTGTTTAGAGACCTCCCATAAGTTTGTTCAAATCCTCGCCTTCAAAGCCCTCCACAGCTTTGGTCCTTCCACCTCAGTGACCCGAGGCTCTGGAACTCTATCCCCCAGTGCCTTCGCCTTGCTTCCTCCCTCTCCTCCTTCAAGGCCGGTCTCAAAACCTTTCTCTTTGACCGAGCCTTCAGCTCCCCTCTCGACTCTCTTCCCCCTTCTCGCTCCCTCCCATCCCTCCCTCACCCTGACCATTTCCCCCTCCTCGCTCCCTCCCCTCCCCCTGACCATTTCCCCCCTGCTCAGGTCATGACCCAACTGTGCAGCGCCTTGGGACGTCCTCCTGACGTGAAAGGCGCTTTATAAATGGAATCTTGTTGTTGTTGTTGTTGACCGGCTAACTCCACATTGACCTGCTCCACGTTTCCCACCCAGCCTGCCCCATCATTGACCCTCAGCCACTCTGCCCCACTCTTTAGAACACCATCCCACAGTCCATTTGCATGCTGACTCCTTGGCCTCCTTCACTGCACGTCTCAAGACCCTCCTGTTCAATCGCACCTTCGATGACCCTCTTACCCCTACCCTCCCTGCCCTTCACCCCTTCTGATCCCAACCTCCTGTTCAGGTCCAAATCCCTGATTGTCCAGCAACTTGGAACATCCTCCCAATGTGAAAGGTGCTATACAAATGTAATTTGTTGTTGTCGATGTTGCAATTAGGTTCTAAACAGAATAGTTTTTTATGTAGGATGTAAAATGTAAAACTGGATTGTTCTTGTTTTGAGGAGTGAAAAAATGCCTGGGTGTAGATGAAGTAAGGATGGCAGAGGATTAGAGGCTTCATCAACTGCTATAAAAAGCAGCTCTTCTGACTGCTTGTGATAGCTGGATTGAATAGCATTTGGAGTAACTGGATTTACTACTTTAATGAAAAACTGTTGTATTTAAGGCAGATATAGATCAGAGACTAAATCTGATATGAATCACATGGAGGATATCTCCCAGGGTTGGAAGCATGTAGACAATCTGGCTCCTGTAGTATGTAAAACTTGAATTGTAGTGTGATGATACCAACTTCTGAAGGCCCCTGAACCAGCCACCATAACCGGAAGCCTCTATGGCCAGCAAGCAAGACTTCTTTGTGTTTAACCAAATCTCATATATTAGCTTCAGTATTCTAGTTTGATAAATGTCAAGATATCCCATCAGTTTCTAAAATCTGCTCAATAATCGGGCATTCAGTGTATTCAAATGAACTTTGTAATGCTCTGTTTTAAAGATTAAATCCTTTGAGTTAGCAAATGTCAACCAAGGCAGCGATAGAGGTAACGACAACTGGCCTCGGTATTCAAATGTACCAACAGGACAATATATAGGCACCCTAGCTGGAAAGTATGAGACAGAATCTGGTTTGACTGTGATGTCTTTCATGATCAAAAGGTCTTGTGGCACTGTCTAGAATCACGCTACAAGAATGGCCATGAGCTCTAAGTCATCCCAAACTTTGCAGCTCAGTTTTTCTCCCGTTCTCGCCAGACTCCTGGCTTTCTGTCCTCACAGTGAATTGACTTTAAGATCCTCATTATTATCTTCAAATGGCTCCTTGGCCTTGCCCTATCCTACCTCAGTGATCTCTCGCTATCCTACTTTTCCACCCACTGACTCTGCTAACTGTGCCCTGCTTCATGTCATTGGCCCACCATTAGTGAGCCACTTTGCCTCACTCTCTGGAAATCTCTCCTTCCTCCCTCCCTATCTGCTTTCCAAACACATCTTAAAAATCTATCAGTTTGACACTGACTTCAACTACCTCCAGGCTACCACCCTTATTCTCCCACCCAGAATGGGCTCACCCTCCATCTCTACAATGTTATAAGTTATCTTATGTGAGACAGCCTGTATAACTAAGATGATGTATTCCACTTTATTATGTTTGACTGATTGAATGTTAATTTCCTATTTAAACTCCCCAGTTACTTTTTTCTCCCTTGTTGCTAGTCTGATATGGTATTTATTTAACATTCATAGGTAGTTCTCCTTCTGGCTATTTTCTGATGATACCTTGGTGCCTAGATATTACTGGACAACATTATTCAGTGAAAATAATCTAATATAACAAACAGAGCAACATTAGGTTCTACTGGTCCAAATCGCTGTAAGGAAAAAGCTCCCAACAGCTTCACAGTATTGAACATTTGGACCTTTGACCCCTAAAGAATTGTATTTAATCTAAAAAGCTTTTTCCTAAGACTTTTCCTAAGACTTTAGGAATTCCTAAGACTTTAGACATTTAAAATAATGCTAACTCAAAGGAATAGCTTTAAAATTAGAAACACGTATATCATCGTGGAGATTTTTTTCTCTTGCAAAGTTGACAATCTGTAGAACATACTCCCTGCAGAACCTATTGATATAATGTCCATTCATTTCTTCAAAAATAATTGGCATAACTATTTATTTGAGATTAATAATCCTTGCCTTGCATTTGATTTTGTGCCTTAACTCGTCATCGAGACATCTCAACGCGCTTCACAGAATATACCACCACTGCCTCACCCCTCAACCTGCTGAAACACGCATTCATCGCACTGAGGCTCGACTACGCCAACTCCCTTGTCGGCTTCCCCAGCTTTTCCCTCCACAAGCTGCAGATCATCCAGAACTTTGCAGCTCGTGTCCTCTCCCACACCAGGCTCCTTGAACCCATCAGCCCCACCCTCGCCCGGCTCCACTGGCTCCCCATCCCTCAGAGGATAAAGTTCAAACACCTCACCTTCAGGGCCCTTCACGGCCTTGCCCTCTCCCACCTCTGCGACCTCCTGACCCTATATCAACCTGTCTGCTCAGCAGGCTCTGGCCTACATCACCATCAGTAGTTGGGCCTTCAGCCTTTCTGCCCCCACACTATTGAACTCCATCCCACATTCCCTTTGCCTCTCTCCCTCTCTTGCCTCCTTCAAGGCGCATCTCAAAACCCTCCTCTTCGACCGACTTTGGCCACCCTCCTGCCCTCCACTGTATATTTTGTGGGAGAAATGCAGCAACCAATTATGCACAACTGTGGCCAACAATCAGTCATGGATCGAATGACCAAATTTTTTACTTTTTTGGAAGAGATCAACATTGGACACGTAGCGAGAGCTGCAGATTGAAATGCACAAAAACTCAATAGGACACAATGAATTGCAGATTTTTGCCGGTTCGCATGAGCTGGGAGGAATTTTTATGGAAGAAAGGAAGCTCGGGTTGAAAAGGATAGATGCGGGAAGTATCTTGTTATCACTTACTCACAATCTATAGAATGAGTGAGTGGAGGGTATGTATTTTTCCATTAGGAGGCTAATAAATTCTTCAGCAAATTGATCTGAAATACATTTGTATTTGTATCCAGTTATAGAGTCTCACTTTGCATGATATATGGGGAAGGGAAGATCATTGGCAAATTGTGGTGTGAATGCTATTTAGTGAAATCTGTGATAGGTAGGTTTTGGAAGGATTTTGGAGGGAGCTCACTTGGGAAACTGAATAGCCTTTCCTCTTTCATGCTTTGTCATATTCCCAGTATTGAAATAATTTTTCACAACTATCAGTTGTTTGGAAAAGATGATCACTTTATAGCAACATATATCAGCTGCGACTGCAATGTTTGACCCTTCATTTGTCTGATCTTGCTGTTGTAGTCAGGCAGTCAGTCTGCTCCCAGTCCCTCAGTTTTGTTCTTTCTACAAAAGTGACCCACCTTCATTCAGCATTTCCCACGACGTGTATTTCATTGAGATTTTTGTGCATCGCAGAATCTTGCTGCTCCAGTGAAGGGCAACAGGACTACATTGTGTAATGGAATTGTTTTTCACCTCCCTCACCTCATTCAAGGTCCATCTCAAGATGTACCTCGGACCGTGCTTTAGGTCATCTCTTCCCTCCCCTGCCTACCTTGTCTCTTTCAAGTCCCACCCCAGCCCACCTTTCCAGCCGGCAGTGTTAAATGCTTTGAGATGTCCTCCCGATGTGAAAGGTGCTATATAAATTGTGTTTTTTTAAAAAAAATAGACTTGTAGTCTTAACCCTTTGAATTTTAAAACTATGCCTTTTTATAATGGGTATCTCTTTGCTCGTTCCAAGCGTAGTGTAGAAGAGAGTAAAGTTATGTGTCAGATCTCTGGTTTGTGTTGATCTTAAAGTATTTAAGTTGTGCTCTGTGACGTATGATCGCTTAGTCTCACACTATCTTTGTCTAAATTGATTTCCTGGTTCCTTACAGTCATTTCTCTGAGTTGGCAAGCCATTTAGGAGTGCATTTGTATCCAATTATAGAGTTCTTCTAGAATGCAGCATAACTTTAGGCAAAAGATTATAGGTAGATTGTGGTGTGGATGCTATTTCCTTGAAGTTAATGCAGTTGAAATCGGAGTGGAATAACCTCGCAAGCAATCCACGGGGAGCCCTCTACATTTGAAAACAAGGCAGACTGCAGTTTTCTTGATTTATGTAAAGAGGGTGACCCTGTTATAATGCACTTCACTGGAGCACGATCCCACTTGTAACTTAATATCTGGTTTTATGGACTGCACGTATGTAAGAAGGTATTAGTCCTGTAGTTAGTTGAGAGAGACTTTGACTCTGTTGCTGTCTTTCATTGTGCTTTAGAAGGTTCCGTTTTGAACATTTGATGGAAATCTAGTATCAAGACAGTTAGAACTGAGATCAGAAAGCATTTGTTCATGCAAAGTTGTGAAGATGTGGAATGCTGTACCCCAGAAAGCCATAGAGATGCAATCAACAAGGATATTCAAAATAGAGATCAAGGGATATTAAGTAGTAATAATAATAATCATTGCATTTGATGTAGCATCTTATCACGTCTTCGAGGTCTCACAAAGCACTTCACAGAATATTCTGTAAAGTGAATTGACTGTAAATTTTGTGGGTCCGGAATTATTATCCCCGGAAAAGCGATCCGCCAAATGATGAACAACCGGGTTCCTACTTACTACTAGGTAAATAAAGGCGTGTGGAGTAAGAAAACTTGCCCAACGTTTCACCCTGCCGGGAGTCAAACCCAGGTCTCTCTCTCTCTCTCTCTCTCGAGGCGAATGCTGTAACCACTGAGCTACAGGAGTGGTATGGCAAAATGGTGGGGTATTGGGATTAAAAGATATGTGAAAATCTGATAAACCAGTGGATCAGGCTCGATAGACTAAATGGCCTGTTCCTGTGTTCATAACAACATTTTGCAAAAGAGAAGAGATGACCATTTTAAAAGAAGACACTATATGTATGTAAATGATATGCCACATCAATAATTCCAATAAAATGAAAGATTTTCTGAAAATAAAACTACAATCTGAGGTGATGCCATTTCTCACCCTGAGCGAGTGAGTTTTCACTCTTCAAGGCTCCCTATTACGGAGATTATTCTCTTGTTCCTGAGATTGATTGTGGCAGCTGATCACGGGGCAGGGCACAGAATGCTGGAAATACCTTTCTATCGGAGTTGTGTTAGGCTCTGAGCAAAGTGTCTAGAAAGAAATTCTTGCCATCAGTGCAGCTTTTACAAATCAGATCATTGACCTTTAACATTCTTTTGTTTCTATTCAGTTTTCTGAACTGAAACTGCTGACATTGTTAGAGAGGGAATGGCTGTGAGGGTTATGACCCTGTTAGTGTGGGGGCAGGGGGGAGCTACAGGGGGGTGGGAGGGGAGTGGGGTTGCATTAACTCAGGGATTTCAGCGATTGTGGTATTATAGCTATGTGGATTAGCTGAGCTTTATCTGAAAGAGCTACTGATGGCGAGACTTTCTATTTAATCTTCTTCACCAATGTAAATCCAAGTCCCGGAGGTGACAAAGTTAATAATAAGGAGTGTGAAGGAAGAGATGTTGAAATAGATTAGTAAGAGGTGCAGAAATCCTAAATGTGGCGCTATTTCTCCTAGACTACCTTCAGAGTTTCAGTCTGTCCTACTTCCAGACTCATTCACTTTCTCCGAGGAAAAAGATCTTTATTCTGCACTACCAGGTTAACCTCTCCTTGGGTGTATTGCTCTCTGTTTTGTAAAGCCCATCCCTGCATTCAGCAACTTCTCTGGGAAGTGCTTCAAATTAAACTCTATTGTTTGGCTCAGTATATAGGACAATTACCCGCCTGTTGACTAGCTATAGTGGTGTGTGAGAGTGGTAACCAGTGGTGCCTCTCTTGTATATCTTCTTGTATAGTACAGGGCCTGGACACCATTTAGTGTGACCAAGAAGTTTGCTGTGTGGGAAACAGCAATTTCCCAGCCCAATGGTTGGGAGCTTTACAAAGAATGTACAGCATGGAAACAGGCCCAGTTCGGCCCAACCAATCAGTCCCAGGTCATGATTATCTTCATTGTCTTCACCCATCGCTTACTCTCTCCCATAACTTTCTATTCCCCTTTCCCTCACATGAAGCTTTGCATAAAAATGCAATATTTTGAAATTCAAATTTAGCAAAATCTCCAATCCTCTCAGCTAATCTGAAACTACAATTTTGTTTCAATCCTGACTGTAGTATTCCAGAGATTCAGACTGAATTCTATTTTGACAGCTTCTAAATTTGCTCTTGAAACCTATTCTTGAGTTGATTAAATAAGTGCATTTGGTTCAAATCAAACTGCTACTTGTTGATAGTTCTTGCTCCCACAAAAACATGGTTATGATGGTATTATACTCCCTGTTGTATAATTCCTTGAGCTAGCATTTTGAAAACACTGAATTCCCTAAGTTGAAAAGGTTTATAGCGCTCCTTAGCTCATTGTAAATTGTTGCATTAAATCAACGGAGGACATGACAGCAAGTAAATCCCACTGCTCCTTCTGCACTGAATCAAGGTGTTACGAATCATATTAATAGTAACATGTTATCTTCCTGCTCCTGTTATTTAGTCCTTCGTGACCCGTTTTTTATTTTGGGACAGACTCAAAGACAAGCAAACTAAAAGGTAGCTCTTGTTTTTATCTGTGTAGCAAACCAGCCTTTGCAGTCTATCACCAAATGTGGCTTGGCCACCTCTGAAACTACTCGAAAGCTAAAACCTCTTTCACGTCAAAGGCATCCTAGAGGCTAAGGACAACCACAAGTTCTTCTTCTTCACCACCACTAATCACCTCCTCCATTACCTCCCCCAAAGCCCCCCCCCCACACACACACACACGCGCGCACAGTTCCCTTGAGATGTCTCTTTGAAACGTATTTCTTTAAGTTCATGAGAAAATAACCTTTCTGTTCATCTGTTTACTCTGCAGGATCCTGCAAATGTGGACAAATTTAATATTACCAACTTTTTCCACGTTAAAAATAACTTGAAGGTTCCTGATCCAGGTAAGAAGTGTCACATGCTGATAAATTTCAAGTTTCAAAATGTCATTTATTTGTGCAATTAAGCCTTTTTTCAATGGGGAGCACAACCTTTAAAACTAACTGTAACCTGTTCTTGAGTGAGACAGTAAGACAGGTTTGCAGTGTAATTTCACGGGGCACATTGGCTAAAAATATACTGGGATTGAGGTCAACCACTACCTTCCATCAAAATAGCTTTCACAGAAAACCATAGCTTGGTGAAGAACTGATCATGATAAGGCTGGTTTGCAGGAAAAATGGGTAGGTCTGTGGAGTGTCATAAGAGGTGAGGGGAAGGATATTAACTGTATAATAATAATAATCCTTGCATTTGATATAGCGCTTTTCACGTCGGGAGGACGTCCCAAAGCGCTTCACAGAACACACTGTAAAGTGAATTGACTGTATATTTGTGGGCGAACGCGGCAGCCAATTGATCACAGCAATGTCCCACAAACAGTCAGAGATTGAAAATGACCAATTTATTATTGTTTTTGGTTTTTTTGGAGGGATTATCATTAGGCTGTGTGTGGAGTAAGGAAACTTGCCCGAGGTTTCGCCCTCTGCCTGGAATTGAACTCAGGTCTCTCACTTGCAAAGCGAGTGCTCTAACCACTGAGCTACAGGACTCCACAAATTAGTGGATTGAGGAATGGGCAGTGATGGAAGTGGTGTTAGAGAAGGTAGTGGGTTTGGAGGGACATTGAGTGGAAGATGAGAATCTTTTCAAAGTGTAAATTCTTATAAATTAACTCAATTAATAAAATGGAAAAAGTTTAAAAATGATACATAAAGCCATTGAGTCCCAAGTGTATTCATGTTAAGTCCTTTAAAAAAAACTTTAAAATTAACTTGCTTGGGAATAGTATTGTGCTTCTTTGAGAAAAAGAAATTAGATTTTAATAGTTGAGATGTGGAAATGGATTAATATTATGGCATTTGTGTTTATCTTTTGGGATCAGGGAGTATTGATGTGGAACATTCCTCAGGAAATAGCTTAGGCGGATTGAAGTCCATAAAAGGGTTCAATTGGTAAACCGTGAAGGAGTGGCGTTAAAAAGACCAAAGATTTTTTTTTATTTCCGTGCTTTCTGAGCGTGGGATATGCAGTCACATTCTTCATTATGTGTGGGATGACTCTGGTCGTGTTTAAGTGGCTTAAACCATGGATGTAAAAATTGGAAATTGAAGGTGGAAATTTCCTGTCCATTCCATTATAGAAGGGTCTTTATTCCCTTGAGTTCAGAAGGTTGAGGGATGATCTGTTTGAGGTTTTTAAAAATAATAAAAGGATTTGATGGGGTACAATGCAAAATTACATTTGTATAGTGCCTTTCACATTGGGAAGACTTCCCATGGTGCTGAATGTAATGTAGAGAAACAATTTCCTCTGGTGGGGGAATCCAGGACAAGGGGGATCATCTTAAAATTAGAGCGAGGCCATTTAGGAGTGAAGTTAGGAGGCAGTGTTTCACCCAAAGGGTAGTGGAAATCTGGAAGACTGAGGTGGACAGATATTTGTTCGGTCAGGGATTCACGGGATACAGATCAGCCATGATCTTGTAGAATGACGGAACAGGCAGGCTCAAGGGATTGAATGGCCTACTCCTGTTTCTCTGTTTGTGGAAGGGAATAGAAGGGTAGAGATGAGGGGAATTGCAGAGGTGAACAATCATGTGGAGTATAACCAGCACCGACCAGTTGGGCCAATTGGTCTGTTCCTGTGTCAGATTACTTACTCTGTGTAACTATATTTGCCCAGATTCTGATTCCTGCAGCTCCATATTATGTATTTTGAATAACTGGGTGACTCAAAGACTGCATTTACTATTCAGAATCCTTTCCACAACATTTTTAAGAAATTCTAGATTTTGACACTTGTTATTCGTAATGGAATTGCCAATGCAAAGTAACAAGTCAGGACAAATCCTTGTGATTTGTCAGTTTAGTTTTTCTTTATGTAAATTAATGGTAATGTTGTTTAGCAGGTATCTGACATTAAAAGAACTGAGCAAGGGAGCAGTTAGTCTGAATGGTTGTCTTCTGTGCTGTAAATTTCTATGGTTCTAAGAAAATTTCTTTGATGTAGATTTCTTCCATGATAATGGTATGTGACCAAGGGAGATATCTTTTAAGGGTCAGTTCAACATTCCAAGCAGGCCCAGGGAAATATCCCATCGCTTTTGATAAATTGCCAATCAGTTCCATTACTTGGATCAAAAAAGAGTGTATTCTAAAGAAACATTACCAAGAGATTTTGGATCATTTTACCCTAAGATGTGATCTGATTATATGCAGCGGGATGTCGAGGGGAAGCTTTGTACTGCATTTGACTGTCAGGCCAAAGGAAGTAGCACTTTTAAAGTTCTACATCTGACGAATGCAAAGTTGTATGAACGTGAAATATTTCCCCCCAGTTCCCACCCCGCCATTGGCAGTCAGGCAATCTGCCCCCACACTCTGGAACACTATCCCTCAATCCCTCCGCCTCACCCCATCTCCTGCCTCCTTCAATTCCTCTCTAAAGACCTTCCTCTTTGACGTTCCTTTGGGCACCCTCCCAAACCCACTGCCCCTACACCCCTCCTGACTCCAACTCCCAGTTCGTGTAAAAAAGAAACCCTGACTGCCCAGTGCCCTGGGACGTCTTTCCGATGTGAAGGGTGCCATACAAGTGTAATTTGTTGTTGTTCTACCAGTGAAGCCATGTTACCATTATACAATCCTGAACTGACAACTATGGCCTCGTTGCAGTGAGGTACACTTGCAAAAGATACTTGAACAAACTGCCATTCATTTCTTTTTTTTTAGTCTCCCGGTAGCTGGCTGAACTTGCTTAGCTGGGTCGATGATTGGTGAAATTCAATGATAATAAAATAGCTGCAGTGCACCACACTGCTACTCAGATAAGGCGATCAGTATTCGCTTTTTCGAAAGCAATGAAGCTCTGTGTGTGGCCTACTGCAATTATACAGAGACTCCAGAGTTGCTTTCTACATTTGCTCAATATGTATGGCTTGGTGGAAGTTATTTGGTGCTTCAATCAAGCCCACAAGGTTAATTTATTTGAGTTTAGAGGGAAGTTTTCTATTTTTTGTGTTCTCATTTCCATTCCCAGCCCAGGAACAAGCAACAAACTTGTCAATGATGCTCTGATCAGCTGCTGCAGGCACCCAAGTCTGGCATGTCATGACTTATCTTCTGGCCCTCCCTATGGCTCACTATACCTCCTGTATATGACAGTGTTTTTTTATATATGAAACCTGTGACTGATCACTTATTGGTGCACAGGATCAACAATAACAACAGAAAAATTACATTTATAAAGCGCCTTTCACGTCAGGAGACACTGGACAGACAGAGTTTCGGACCCGAACTGGGAGTTGGGGTCGAGGAGGGTGGAGGGCAGGCAGGCAAGCAGTGAACCGAAAGCATGGTTGAAGAGGAGGGTCTTGAGATGGGTCTCGAATTCAAGATCCTCATCCTCACCTACAAGGCCATTCACGGCCTTGCTCCCTCCTACCTCTCCGACCTACTATCCCCCTACCTACCTGCCCGTACCCTCCATTCCTCTGGCTCCGGTCTGCTCCACATCCCCCGCCCCAACCGCCCTACCATCGGTGGCCGGGCCTTCAGCCCTGAGGCTCTGGAACTCCATCCCCCAGTGCCTTCGCCGCCTCCTCTCTTTCCTCCTTCAAAGCCGGTCTCAAGTCCTTTCTCTTTGACCGAGCCTTCAGCTCCCCTCTCGACTCTCTACCCCCTCCTCGCTCTCTCCGTTCCCTCCCCTCACCATTTCCCCCCTGCTCAGGTTCTGACCCAACTGTACAGCGCCTTGGGACGTCCTCCCGACGTGAAAGGCGCTCTATAGATGGAATCTTGTTGTTGTTGTTGTTGAAGGTGACACGGGAGGGGGCGAGTCAGAGGGACTGCGGGATGGAGTTCCAGAGGGTGGGGGCAGAGTGCCAGAAGGCCCGCCCACCAATAGTAGGGTGAGCAAGGCAGGGGTGAGCTTCCTTGCCAAGAGATTATCAAATGCTGTAGGGGCGGATTTAAACCAGTGTCGAGGGGGGATGGGTATCCAAGGATAAACAATGGATTAGAGATTAGAAGAAAAAGACAAGTGGGAAGTGTAGAGCAGGTACAAGCGGACAATTTCCTCAAATGCATGTACCTAAATGCACGTAGCTTAGGGAATAAGGTTGATGAGCTGCAGGTTCAACTGGCCGTAGGGGGTTACGATGTGGTGGCAGTAACCGAGACATGGCTCAAGCCAGGACAGGAATGGGAGTTAAATATTCCAGGATATAATGTGTTCAGGAAGGATAGAGAAGGAAGAAAAGGAGGAGGGGTGGCAATATTAGTTAAGGATACAATTATAGCTGTAGAAAGGAACGAGCTCTGGAGGGCCTGACAACAAAATCCACCTGGTTAGAGATAAGAAATAAGAAAGGAGTGGTTACATTGATAGGGGTTTACTATAGACCACCAGACAGCGGGAAGGAGATAGAGGAGCAGATCTGCAACCAGATCGCGGATAGATGTAAGGCGAACAGAGTTGTGATAATGGGGGATTTCAATTATCCCAATATAGACTGGCAAAATAGCAGCGCTAAGGGCAAGGCAGGAGAAAGATTCATAGACTGTGTACAGGAAAATTTTCTTGAGCAGTATGTCTCCAGTCCTACGAGGAAGGAAGCATTGCTGGATCTAGTCCTGGGGAATGAAATAGGTCAGGTTGAACAGGTTTCGGTAGGGGAGCATCTAGGTAACAGTGACCATAATATTATTAGATTTAGATTACTCATGAACAGGGACAAAGTACAGTCAAGGGTGAAAATGCTTGACTGGAAAAGGGCTAATTTTGATGGGCTAAAAGGGACCTAGAGTTGGTGGACTGGCAAGTAAGACTAGCAGGTAAAACGACTCATGAGCAATGGGAGATCTTCAAAGATATGATAGCTCAGGTCTAAATAGATATATTCCCACAAAAGGGAAATGTGCGACAACCAAGCCAGCCTGGATGACCAGGGATATTCTGTCTAGGATGAAAAAGAAGAAGACGGCGTACGACAATTGGAAGACGCAAGATACTGAGGATAGCAAAGCGCATTATAGAGAATGCAGGAGTGATCTTAAAAGAGTGATAAGACAGGCTAAAAGATCGCATGAGAAGAGGTTAGCGGGTAACATAAAGGGGAATCCTAAAATATTTTACAAGCACATAAAGGAAAAAAGGTTAGTTAAAGGTAGGGTGGGGCCAATCAAAGACAATGACGGCAATCTTGTTGTGGAGGCAGAGGGTGTGGCTGATGTACTGAACGAGTACTTTGCATCTGTCTTCACAACGGAAATGGATGCCCCAAATGCCGCAGTATTGGATGAGAGGGTAGAGGAAATAGATCAGATTACTATAGACAGAGAGGAAGTTCTGAAAAGATTGACTGGGCTCAAAATTGATAAGTCACCAGGACCAGATGGGTTTCACCCAAGGTTGCTGTGGGAGATACGGGTTCAAATAGCGGAGGCTTTGGCCATTATATTTCAATCTTCATTGGACACAGGAGTGGTGCCAAGAGACTGGAGAGTGGCTAATGTTACCCCACTCTACAAAAAGGGGCAGAAAGACAAACCCGGAAATTACAGGCCAGTCAGCCTAACGGTAATAGGTAATAGGAAAACTACTGGAGACCTTAATCCGGGACAGAATAAATCTCTACTTAGAGGAACATGAGGTAATTAGAGACAGCCAACATGGATTTGTTAAAGGCAAATCTTGCCTAACAAATCTAATAGAATTTTTTGAAGAGGTGACTGCGAGGGTTGATGAGGGAAATGCGGTGGACGTTATTTACATGGATTTCAAAAAGGCTTTTGACACAGTACCGCATAAGAGATTAATAAAAAAATTAGAGGCCCACGATATTAAGGGGACAGTGGCAGTTTGGATTAAGAAGTGGCTGAGTAACAGAAAGCAGAGGGTTAATGGGTGTTTCTTGCAATGGAAAGAGGTGTGCAGTGGTGTCCCCCAGGGATCGGTATTGGGACCACTGCTCTTTCTAATATATATTAATGATCTGGACTTGGGCATAGGGAGCACTATTTCCAAGTTTGCAGATGATACAAAGTTAGGTCGGGTAGTAAATAGTGAGGAGGACTGTAACCAACTGCAGGCAGATGGATTTCAATGTGGATAAGTGTGAGGTGATACACTTAGGAAAAATGATAGGAGGCAATATAGACTTGGTAGCTCAATCTTAAGGGGGGTGAACGTACAGAGAGATCTGGGTGTTCAAGTAAGCGAATCATTAAAGGTAGCGGGGCAGGTAGATAAGGCAGTAAAAAAGGCACTTGGTGTACTGAGCTTTATTAGTAGGGGCATAGAGTAAGGAGTTTATGATTAATCTGTACAAAACACTGGTTAGGCCTCAGCTGGAGTACTGCGTCCAGTTCTGGGCACCTTACTTCAGGAAGGACATTAAGGCACTGGAAAGGGTGCAGAGAAGATTCACGAGAATGATACCAGGAATGGGGAACCTTAGCTATGAGGACAGGCTGGAGAAGTTAGGACTTCTCCCATTACAGCAGAGAAGGTTACACGGGGACCTGATAGAGGTTTTCAAGATCATGAAAGGTTTCGACAGGCGAGATAGGGAAAAGCTGTTTCCGTGGTAGGTGTGTTTGTGACCCGCGGTCACAGTCTTAAGATATCTACCAAAAGAAGCAGACGGGAGGTTAGAAGAAATGTTTTCACTCAGCGAGTTGTTCGAATTTGGAATGATCTGCCTGAAGGGGTAGTGAAGTCCGATTCGATAACAGCTTTTAAGAGAGAACTGGACAGGTATCTGGGGAAGACGGGTTTGCAGGGTTATGGGGAGAAAGCTGGTGATTGGGGTTCGTGAAAGTGACGCTCTGTCAAAGAGCCCCACAGACTCGATGGGCCGAATGGCCTCCTTCTGTTCCGTAACATTCTATGAATCTATGAGGGTTTTGGTGGAGCCGGGTGATGTTGCAGAGGTGGGGTAAGGCAGAGCGTGTTATGGCACAGATGTGGGGTAGAAAGAATAGATGAGGGTCAAACAAGACGCCAAGGTTCCGGACTGGCTTAGCAAGGTGGAATGTCATCAAATCAATCCAATGGTGTATAAAGTTACACATGAGCCTTTCCCTGGATCACAATCTCGCTGACTACACCCTCAATCATCACCAGAATATCTCTGGAAATAACTCAAGTCTCAACTATGCATGATGAATAAAACACAATCTCTTCATTGGGCTTGGGAAAGAGCCTCAAACTGATTAGAGCTAAGGAGTGGAACCAGCCATTTGACTTCCATGTGCAAGAGAGCCAACTTAAACTGCCACATGGAGTGTTTCTAAATATACAACTCCAGAGATGTTTTGCATAGTTTGACAAGAAGTTGGATTGCAATCCAAACGTTAGCAGAAGAGCATTGCTGAAATTCCTTGTGATTTTGAAAGGGATGCTGATTTTAGCATTTGTTTTCCACAAGCTTTGATGTATTTAATTGAAGGAGAAAAATTAAAGCCATTCTTCGATCGTTTATTTGTGCCATTGTGGTATAAATATTGGGTTTCATCAGTGACTTACAGGTGAAACATTTGTTCTGTTTGCATAGCAACAGGTTCCGTGACCCCATCTCTCCCACCCTCGCCCGACTCCACTGACTCCCCATCCCTCAGAGGATCGAGTTCAAGATCCTCATCCTCACTTTTAAGGCCATCCATGGCCTTGCCTTCTCCTGCCTCTCTGACCTGCTGACTCCCTGACAACCTGCCCGCTCCCTCCGTTCAGCGGGCTCCGGTCTGCTTCATGTCTCTCACCCGACCCGCCCTACCATTGGTGGCCGAGCTTTCAGCCTCTCTGCCCCCACACTCTGGAACTCCATCCTTCGGTCCCTTCACCTCACTTCCTCCTTCAAGGACGGTCTCAAGACCCTTTGATCGTGCCTTTGGTCGCACTCCCACCTCTCTGCCTTCCCTCACCCCTACACCACCCCTCCCCCATGCTCGGGCCTTGACACCTGATTGTTCAGCGCTTTGGGACGTCGTCCTGACGTGAAAGGCGCTCTATAAATATCATTTGTTGTTATTGTCTTTGAATTGTTTTTAATTTGCTTTGAATTCTTTTGCAAAAATATTCTGGTTTAAATTTATTGGTGAAAAAAACTAATTGTAAACGAAGGCTTCAGTATTGGATGCTCAGCTGCTGACAGACGTGTGTTTGATCAACTGTAAATGCCAGTTAGCCCCAGGTCTGACCACCATTATTACCAAATGATGGCCTGGGCCTAGTAAATATCACCCTCAAAGTTCAGATATTTCAGGAATGTTTCAAATTGAGTCTGAACTGTCTTTATTGCTGCTCCTAGGATTTACTTTGAAAAATACTGTTTTTTGTTTTACCACCAAGCAACAATATTGGTTCCCTGCTTGCTATGTTCTGACTTAATTATGTTTCACTGGTAAAAGTTCAAATGTTCTTAAACTATAGTGTCCCCACCTTGAAATTTGGAAATGTGCCAGAGGTTTCAGCCATTTTGAGAAATCTGGTTCCAAAATAATAAGCAACAGAAGTTCAGAGTTGGTTTTATCCAATATTGATTGTAACTGGAATATTAAAACACTGTCAATAATGCTCTAAGTTGCTCAATAACCTACTGAGGACAGTATTCATTTGTTGAGAATATCCAGTTATTGATTTTTGCGCGCTGAGCCTTAAACACATTCTCAATTTAAGTAATTTTAATGTGAACCACTTTTCAATAATCCAGAAATTCATATGAGCTCATTCTCTGCTTCTGTTGGGTTTTCTGTGAAGTGCATAAAAACAAAGGAAAAGGATGAGTATTGCTTAGGTGTTCTCACTTGTACATTCTGTTTTCCAGAGGAAGAGAAAGCAAAACAGGACCCATCTTATTATTTGAAAACCACCAGTCTGGAAATGAGGGAAACACTGACGGAACTTTACAAAGATTATAAGGGAGATGAAATGCTGGCAGCAACTATGAAAGAGCCTGAAAAGAAGAAGGTGGATAAGATGAATGCGGTAAGTTCAGCTATAAGTACTTCCTGATTCCTCAACTTAGTGTTTTGTGCAACCACCTTGCTGAGGGTTCTGTTCCTCAGGCAACATTTTCTACAAGATTACGATAAATATGATTTATTTTCAGCTGCTTTCTCTCCTGTCCAGAACACATTACAGATCCTTTTCCTCAAAACCCTTTTCCTTCTAGTTTAGTTCTCTAGTACATCACTCAAGAGTACGAGTCTTGAACAATTTGACACTAACAAATGTGCGTTAATCCTCCCTTCCCAAGAAGAGCACCACAACACGTCACTTCAGTAACCATCAATTTCACTCCAGTTTGTTGAGAGGACACTACCAATTTTTTGTTGAATTGTAGGCAGTTTTGTGCTATAGAGGTTTGCCACACTGGAATGAGATTTTTAAACTGCTTAAATTAGAAAGAAATATCACAAAAGTTGTTCTCTTGAAGGAACTGGGTCAAAGTGTCTAGTGGATGTAAACAGAAAAAGTAGGGCATTGAAAGCTCATGTGTGTTACCACGTACTTGAAGATTAATTCTGCCTTAACAAAGAATAGTAGCTGAGTATTCTCAATAACAGATGGATTATTGAAAGCTGGAATGCTCACCACAAGGAGCATTGCATCAAATATCAAACGTGTTTGTATCTATTAGAAAACAGATTTTGAAAACTGTTAAATCCTCAAATGAAACCTTCTATCCACATTTTTCCAATTAATTAGCTGTGGGGGAACATGACCCCACTGTTCCCTTTATCTCACCTCTTTAGTTCTTAGGTATCTTTCATGTATTCATTGCTTTGAGTATTTCCCTCCAGACAGGAAATTTATACAATACAAATTTACATTAGGATTAGGGGTATATAGATTTCACTTGTGATGTGAAGCTTGAGGATCATTTCAGTACAATTCTAGGTTTGGCTCTATCAGATCCTCTGTACATCTATAGAGGCAGCTGTTTGATGCTGAATATAGTGTTGGTTAAGTCCATATATGGATTGAAATGCTACGGAAAAGAGATCTATCCGTCCAGGGGATGAGAATCTGAGAGGTTTTATTGTCTTGAGTCCCTTTACAGTCGAGATTCATCGATTCTTAAATGTACTATTAAACCATTCCCGATTATCCAGAGTCATCATGCCTCAACCTAGGTATCCATGGCTAAAGAAATTCGTAATTTTATAAAAAACAGACCATTTTTTCTGTAAAGTTGCAGAGCGATCTCTAAAGTATTAGTCAGCAATGCACCATCCCTCTAACTCAAATTCACTAAACTAGTCTGCAACCTTGGCATTTGGTTCAATCCTCACTTTTCCTCCTTCCTTCATTGCATACGGTTGCTGAGCGAGACCGCTTGTCATCTTTGCCACATTGCTCACCTCCTTCCCTGTCTCACACAAATGCCACCCAAACTTTCATTCACTTTTCAGACTTGACTTTTCAAATGCATTACCATACACAAGCTCCAATTCATTCAAATCACCAAACGCCATGTGCCGTTCACCCCAGTCCTCACCAAGCTCTGCTGGCTCTTCATCTCTCAACGATAAACTTTGGGATTTTCAACTATGAATCTCTTCCGCTCGAGTGATTCCCTAACTCGTGGGATTCTGCGCCTTCAAATCTTAGTACTTGCTGCTCCCCCACTAAACTCTGCTTTTTTTTTGTCAGCCGGGTGTCTGGCACATGCAGAAACCCATCACCATGTTTAAAAGTATCCAAACCGTGCTGAGATTTCCATGTATCCCATCTGCACATGCAAATCCCAGAGATAGATTGTTGGAATGGAATGCGCACTCTTTCCCTGGAGGGACACATCCTGCTTTACCTAATTCCGGAAAGTATTAGGCACAGGTTGGCAAGAACTAAGGCTTGGGGACCCCAGACTGTGCACTGGGATAACTGCTGGAGTCTAACCAGCTAAAACCGCACAGCTTGCCATTGATATTGCTGTCTGGCAAGCTTTCCTGCTTCTTGTCCAGCTAGGACCAACCGACCCGTTAGGGCTTTGGCTTGCAGGGTTAACAGGAGGTGAGTGGGATGACTCCTTGCCTCCAGGTCAAAGGTTATTAATAGCGATCTTAAAAAAAATTCTCCTCCCAACTTTCTGAAGTAATGTAAAAATGTATTTCTATAACTCTTTGCAAGCTCTGTAGTGATATCTTTGTTCTGTGTTTCATCTCACCAACCTTGTGTTGCTTCGGTGCTTCTGGGCTGTCATACATAACATGTACCAGTCTATATATGGGATAGTGACTGATGTAGGATTCTGTTCCTTTTTGCTGTCCCTCCAGCAAAGGGAATAACATGAATGCAGGAATGGACAGCAGAACCATTCCAAATGAAAGAAAAACACATTTTTTTTATAACCCATTCTGGGGTAGAAGTTCATGGTCTCCATTTAGCAACAACTTACTCTGGAGTAAGTAATAGAAATCAGGAGCTCAGAGTGTGGGAAATCACAGGTATAGATCTGTATTTCCAAAGACCCGAAAGTGGCTTTGAGCAAAACGTGTGTTGGAATTGGCCCATGTCAAAACTTCAGTCGTGCCAGGTGAATCAGATACAAGGAGAGCATTGCAAGATTGATGCTCCATGTAATCGCAACTTACTTGCATATCAACAAACTTTGTTTTGTGGTTAGGTTTTTTTAATGTGGTTGAAACTGATGGTTTGTTTGCTGAATCCTGCAGGCACATTACTCAACAGGGAAGGTCTCCGCTTCCTTCACTTCCACTGCAATGACACCAGAAACTATGCATGAAGCAGGTAATTGCCTTATTTACTCCAATTCCTTTGTATAATGAGTTCATCTCTCTCTTAATGAGCAGTGTCAAGGTTGGAGGCAACTCACCATCTTAATTCTTGCCATTTATCCAATTAAAAACAGGATGTGTTGTTTAATTACTGCAAATCACACAGTGGTCCTGTATTAATGTCTTTTGAAGGTTCGGTCTGAGAATATTGATTTCTGCTTTGAGTATAATGAAAAGCAGGCCTGCTGACAGAGTATACTCTTGAGGCTCACCGTGTGTTCAGATAATCTCTAAAGGTTAAAGTTTTTACCATTTTGCCCACCAATATACAGACAATTCACTTTACAGTATATTCTGTGAAGTGCTTTGAGAAGTCTAAAAGACGTGGAAAGTGCTATATCAAATACAAGAATTACTACTATTATTCAACTAATAACCTTTCTTTTCTAATCCTCCCTAAAAGTGCTGCCTTTTTGGGTACAGTTTCACAGTGCCAACTATCTACTGGCAGCTCACCTGAATGGATACTCTCCAGGTGTTAGAAGCCCGATATTCCACCTCACTTTAGCCTGTAGCACCCTAGCAATGTACAGAACAGACAGCCAGCATAGTGACTTTAAAAAACACTGCTTTAAAGAACAGTCCTTCAGTCCCATTAACTGTTTTTCCCCCACACCCCTGTAGTTTACTCCTGTTTAGATATCCATCTAGTTCCCTTTTGAAAACAAATACTGATTCTGCCTCAACTACCACTCCCAGCAGGACATTCCACATCCTAAACTCTGTAGATGAAAATATGTCTCCTAAATTTTTTCTTCAATTAAGTCTATTTCAAAACTGTTTTTCTTTTTCTGCACTTCTTATGTTCTTCCAGATTAAGATCAATAAACAAATATTAAGAAATAGTTTATTTATTAAGCTAGACAAGATCCCAACTAATAAATAATGATTGTGAGTTGATGCCCCTTGTCCTTGAGCTCATAGTCTAGGGGCCAGTCTAGACAGATACTCCAATACACTGTGTTACATTCTTCGGATCAAACATTTTTTAAAAAAATGTTTGTTCAGGTGGATGTTAAACTTTAACTATTCAAAAAGAGAAGGGAGTTTCTCCTGGTGTCCTGACCAACAATCTTACAGTAAATCCTGTGAAGCACTTGGAGACATCTCCTGATGTGAAAGGTGCTGTCACAAAAAATCCTTCAAAAAAATTGATCATTTCAATCCCCATCTGTTTGTGGGACGCTGCTGTGCCCAATTGGCTGCTGTGGTTCGCCTACAAAAATACAGTCAATTCACTTCACAGTATATTCTGTGAAGCACTTTGAGACATCTCGAAGACATGATGAGGCGCTATATCAAATGCAAGGATTATTATTTGTCACCAACTTAGCCCCGGTCATCAAGTACCCCAGGAATGGCTTCTCCTACTTGAAGAGCTTTTCAGGTTACACTGAAAAGTACTCCCTCAGGAATCCAGCCAATAATTCTGGTATGTTTTCAAAGTGAATGCAGTGACCTGGAACCTCTCTCTTGCTGTAGGCTTCTACGTTTATTGTTTGAAGGTTTTAATAAACTGCAGAGATTTTAGGAAATAATTATTATGTTTGATCTCAGTCCAACTTTCAAATTGCATAAAGTAAAATAATAAAAAAACATCAGTTTGGCTACAAGATCCATTGATGAATTACATCCCCACATTAGTTATTTTCACCAAGTCCTCGCAAGTTGCTGCTGATGAATATAAAGCGGTAATGAGGTGGAGAAGCAGAATGATGAACAATATAGGATTGCATTATTTGAGTGGTGTTAGGTCTATGCATTGAACCTCATTTCATGGTTCAACTGTCTTAAAAAAAAAAACATTCTGGAGCCAGCAAATAGGGAACATATTGAAAATGGTGACTTTCCTGAGGAAATATTGCTCTGTGCTTTGTAATAGAAATGACTTTTCTTTCCTCCTACTCCTCCTCATTTTATCCCACGTTCTGCCCTTTCCTCGAGTCCATACCAAGAAACATGAGCCAATTAATCTCATCAAAGAATCGGATGTTATTTGAAGTGCAGGACAATATCCTGAGGTCACACAGGGTTCAACACATCACTTTGTAATGTAATGGATGAGGACCTTCGTGAAGGGTACACTTTATATAAAAAAACCCTTTTTGAACCCCTCAATGTGATTTATATTGTACATCTGTGCTGCACTAAACAGTGTCTACTCAACGTAGCAACTAAAATCTGAAAACCTCCAACTGACTTATTGCTTGCGTTCTCCGAGGGAAATAGTTTCTGTTGTGAGAGTCTTATACGTCCACTTTCAACAACAACAACTTGCACTTATATAGTGCCCTCCACTCGGGGTAGCGCCTCAGAGCGCTTAACAGTGGGGGAGCCTGACTCTGAGTCGGGGGGGAGGTGGCCGTAAGCACAGTTGAGGAGGAAAGTTTTCAGGTGGGACTTGAAAGAGGGGAGAGGGGGCGCAAGGCAGAGGAATTGAGGGAGAATGTTCCAGAGTTTTGGGGCATAGTGGCTGAAAGCATGACCTCCAATAGTGGGGTGCGAGGGACAAGCAGGAGCCGGTGCCCGTCGAGTGGAGGCGCCAGATGGTGGATTGGGGAGTGAGGAGGTGGAGAGGGAGGGAGGTGCCAGGCAGTGAATGGATTTGAACACAAGAGTGAGGAATTCAAAATTCTCCTGAGATGATAAGGTAATGCGATGGGGCAAGAAGAGGGCTTGTTCAAGGCAGAGCACCCCCAACAGAGTACCAGTCTCTAATCGGTACTCAACATTAGCTATCGAGAGCGTGGAAGCCTCTCGTGAGGACAGCAGTGGACATTCTGTCTCAACAGGACAAGGGCATGGTTCACAAGGGCAATACAGTTGTGATCGGGGATTCAACAGTAAGAGGCACTGACAGGATCTTCTGTAATCAGAATCGTGAAGCTAGGATGGTTTGCTGCCTTCCTGGTGCACGGGTAGTGGACTTCACAGAGCGCATGGACAAGATTCTTCAAGGGGAAGGAGAATGTCCAGAAGTCGTGGTCCATGTGGGGATCCACAATATTAGTAAGAAGAGGGCTGAGATGCTCCAGGGCGAGTATCAAAAGCTGGGGAACAAACTCAAGTCCAGAACATCCAAGGTGGTGATCTCTGGGTTACTCCTGGTACCTCGGGCGACAAGGCAGCATAATGAAAGGATCAGGCGCATGAACAATTGGCGGGAGAAATGGTCCGGAAAAGGTTTCCATTTTCTGGACAATTGGGACCATTACTGGGGGAGGTGGGATCTTTACCTTGAGGATGGGCGGCACTTAAGCGAGGCAGGGGTGAGCTTCCTTGCCAAGAGATTATCAAATGCTGTAGGGGCAGATTTAAACCAGTGTCGAGGGTGGATGTGTATCCAAGGATAAACAATGGATTAGAGATTAGAGGAAAAAGACAAGTGGGAAGTGTAGAGCAGGTACAAGACAAAATAGCAGCGCTAAGGGCAAGGCAGGAGAAAGATTCATAGACTGTGTACAGGAAAATTTTCTTGAGCAGTATGTCTCCAGTCCTACGAGGAACGAAGCATTGCTGCAACTAGTCCTGGGGAATGAAATAGGTCAGGTTGAACAGGTTTCGGTAGAGGAGCACCTAGGTAACAGTGACCATAATATTATTAGATTTAGATTACTCATGAACAGGGACAAAGTACAGTCAAGGGTGAAAATGCTTGACTGGAAAAGGGCTAATTTTGATGGGCTAAAAAGGGACCTAGAGTTATTGGACTGGCAAGTAAGACTAGCAGGTAAAATGACTCATGAGCAATGGGAGATCTTCAAAGATATGATAGCTCAAGGTCTAAATAGATATATTCCCACAAAAGGGAAATGTGCGACAACCAAGCCAGCCTGGATGACCAGGGATATTCTGTCTAGGATGAAAAAGAAGAAGACGGAGTACGACAATTGGAAGACGCAAGACACTGAGGATAGCAAAGCGCATTGTAGAGAATGCAGGAGTGATCTTAAAAGAGTGATAAGACAGGCTAAAAGATCGCATGAGAAGAGGTTAGCGGATAACATAAAGGGGAATCCTAAAATATTTTACAAGCACATAAAGGAAAAAAGGTTAGTTAAAGGTAGGGTGGGGCCAATCAAACACAATGACGGCAATCTTGTTGTGGAGGCAGAGGGTGTGGCTGATGTACTGAACGAGTACTTTGCATCTGTCTTCACAACGGAAATGGATGCCCCAAATGCCGCAGAATTGGATGAGAGGGATGAGGAAATAGATCAGATTACTTTAGACAGAGAGGAAGTTCTGAAAAGATTGACTGGGCTCAAAATTGATAAGTCACCAGGACCAGATGGGTTTCACCCAAGGTTGTTGTGGGAGATACGGGTTCAAATAGCGGAGGCTTTGGCCATTATATTTCAGTCTTCATTGGACACAGGAGTGGTGCCAAGAGACTGGAGAGTGGCTAATGTTACCCCACTCTACAAAAAGGCCCAGAAAGACAAACCCGGAAATTACAGGCCAGTCAGCCTAACGGTAATAGGAAAACTAATGGAGACCTTAATCCGGGACAGAATAAATCTCTACACATGGATTTGTTAAAGGCAGTTTGGATTAAGAAGTGGCTGAATGACAGAAAGCAGAGGGTGGTGGTTAATGGGTGTTTCTCGCAATGGAAGGAGGTGTGCAGCAGTGTCCTCCAGGGATCGGTTTTGGACCACTGCTCTTTCTAATATATATTAATGATCTGGACTTGGGCATAGAGAGCACTATTTCCAAGTTTGCAGATGATACAAAGTTAGGTAGGGTAGTAAATAGTGAAGAAGGTTGTGACGGACTGCAGGCAACATACACAGAATGGTGGAATGGGCTGACATGTGGCAGATGGATTTCAATGTGGATAAGTGTGAGGTGATACACTTAGGAAAAATGATAGGAGGCAATATAGACTTGGTAGCTCAATCTTAAAGGGGGTGAATGTACAGAGAGATCTGGGTGTTCAAGTAAGTGAATCATTAAAGGTAGCGGGGCAGGTAGATAAGGCAGTAAAAAAGGCACTTGGTGTACTGAGCTTTATTAGTAGGGGCATAGAGTAAGGAGTTTATGGTTAATCTATACAAAACACTGGTTAGGCCTCAGCTGGAGTACTGCGTCCAGTTCTGGGCATCTTACTTCAGGAAGGACATTAAGGCACTGGAAAGGGTGCAGAGAAGATTCACGAGAATGATACCAGGAATGGGGAACCTTAGTTATGAGGACAGGCTGGAGAAGTTAGGACTTTTCCCATTAGAGCAGAGAAGGTTACACGGGGACCTGATAGAGGTTTTCAAGATCATGAAAGGTTTCGACAGGCGAGATAGGGAAAAGCTGTTTCCGCTGGTAGGTGTGTTTGTGACCCGCGGTCACAGTCTTAAGATATCTACCAAAAGAAGCAGACGGGAGGTTAGAAGAAATGTTTTCACTCAGCGAGTTGTTCGAATTTGGAATGATCTGCCTGAAGGGGGAGTGAAGTCCGATTCGATAACAGCTTTTAAGAGAGAACTGGATAGGTATCTGGGGAAGACGGGTTTGCAGGGTTATGGGGAGAAAGCTGGTGATTGGGGTTAGTGAAAGTGACGCTCTGTCAAAGAGCCGCACAGACTCGATGGGCCGAATGGCCTCCTTCTGTGCCGTAACATTCTATGAATCTATGATAATCTGGAGATGGCTTGCCTTGAACTATTAACTATAATAGGCTCTCTGAGATGCTACCCTATATAAGTGGAAGTTGTTGTGGTAATGGATTCTAAGCCATAGCAGAGCTTCACAGCTGAATCAAAGTATTGTAAAATTCTCAACATACCTGAGCAGTGCAATTCAGACTTATTTTACTGCGCATGTCAGTTACAGGGTTCTGTTCTGTCAAGGTGGGGGTGGAGGGGGTTGAAGGAAAATAATGTTTTTATGTTAGAGAAGCATGTCAGGTTTAAATAACGCAATGTACAGATTGATGAATATTGTTAAAACATTTTGGGATCGGTGCATCCACACAGAATTTTTTCCCCAACAAATAACGCTTGGGTAAAGTTCAAAGCAAACTAGACGTGTCATGGAAGTGATGGGCTGATTAGGCTTTTTATGTTACATGCCTTCGTGTTTTTGTAAAGGAAGAAACAATTCCATGAAATTCATCCGTGCCGTTAATCTGAAAGGGCATAAAGACATCAAATTGGGATAATATAGGAAGAAAACGCCAAGATCATTTGTGCACCTAAGACTAGGACCTTCAAAGAAAGGTGGTAAAAGAAAGCATTGTGTTCAACATGTCCAGGGTTCAGTAAACAACCCAAGTATAACGACAAGAGGTCAGGTTTCAATCCAACTCGGCTGGATGTAAACTGTTTGCAGAAATAAAGCCGTATGTTTCCAAAAAATATATTGAGTACGTAGCCTTTCCACACTTTTGTTCTAGCCTGGTTTACGTCAGGCTTGCTGAATTCAAGATCCTCATCCTCGCCTACAAGGCCATTCACGGCCTTGCTCCCTCCTATCTCTCCAACCTACTATCCCCCTACCTACCTGCCCGTACCCTCCGTTCCTCTGGCTCCGGTCTACTCCACATCCCCCTCCGCAACCGCCTTACCATCGGTGGCCGGGCCTTCAGTCTCTCAGCCCCGAGGCTCTGGAACTCTATCCCCCAGTGCCTTCGCCGCCTCCTCCCTTTCCTCCTTCAAGGCCAGTCTCAAGACCTTTGTCTTTGACCGTGCCTTCAGCTCCCCTCTCAACTCTCTACCCCCTCCTCGCCCCCTCCCTTCCCTCCCCTCATCCTGACCATTCCCCCCTCCTCACTCCCTCCCTTCTCTCCCCTCACCCTGACTATTTCCCCCTTGCTCGGGTCCTGACCCATCTGTCCAGCGCTTTGGGACGTCCTCCCGACGTGAAAGGCGCTCTATAAGTGGAATGTTGTTGTTGTTGCTGTCATGTGAGTCCAATTCCTGCCAAATACTGCACAGGAGCATTTTTTTTTAACCCAAGATTCTGATCCCTGACTGTCCAGCACCTTGGGACTTCCTTCTGACGTGAAAGGCGCTATACAAATGTAATTTGTTGTTGTTGTTGTTGATCCCCGTTCTCTGTGTCAGTAGACAGACACATTCCTTTAGAAACAGCTTGTGTGTGATGGAGGAGACATGACAGAATCAATTGTGAAACATTCTATGGGCCATTCCCCAAACATGCAGGGGACTGAGTTGTGGCTCCAATTTCTCAGCATTTGACATTTACCTCTTGTTAAAAGTTCCAGCCTAATGTTCCTTCATTTTTCTTTCCTAGCTGCGGTTGAAGACAATACAGTGCGATACCGCTATGTCAAGAAGAAAGGTTACGTCCGACTGCACACAAGTAAAGGGGATGTGAATCTGGAGCTGCACTGTGAGATGGTATGTACAAACACTCAGGTATTGCCATATAAATGGGGAGCTTTGGAGAATAGGGAGGTGGTGCTCTGCAAAGAGTGGAGTCGGGCTGTGAATAAAGCTAATTCAGTAACATTAATTTTGCACAAAACGCACTCGGGCCACCACACATTCTTTCTTGGTAACTTAATGTTGGAAGTAACCTAGCATCACTACATCTAATTCTAAATGTAATCAGACCAAGCATGTGCTCACTTAAAAAACGTCTCTAAACACTACCTGCTTTCAATGTAAAATTGATAAGCCAGTAGAAATTACTCCTGGTAGCAGAGAGAAATGCACTATGCAGGGATAGCTGAGAGCAAAACACTTTGTAAATATAAAGCATTTACTCTGGAGGTTTATGTACTACAGTTGTATACGTTTTATTGTTTTTAGAGTAAAATAAGCATTTTAACGGTTGTGGAATGTAGAAGTGAAACCTATAAGACACTGCAATCCAGAATTCTAAGTGAGGCCTTCAAGTTCTGCTTGGAAACTAATGGATTTATGACAGTTATATTGAGTTGGGAAGAGTCTGTCACACATTGGATTTTTGCTGCACATCGCAGGCAGTTAGCAAATAAAAATAACAATGTTTGGCTGATTTTGAAAAAAGACCAGGCCTAAAAATAGGCTAATTTGTAAGTGATTTGTAAGTCCCAGTGCCTTGGGACGTCCTCCTGACGTGAAAGGCACTTTACAAATGTAATTTTGTTGTTGTTGTAATTCACATTAGTTGTCTCTGTATACTGTGACATGCTCACACACATAGTTGCACGGTGTCGAGTGAAATCCAGGAAAGGATTGCAGTTGGCTGGGAGCCTCAACAGCAACAATAACAACAAGATTGTATTTATACAGCGCCTTTCTCTCCGATGGTGAACCATTTTCATGTCTTAAGTGCTGTTAGCACTGATCTTGTCCTGCCTTGCCTAGTTTGAAGGGGTTTTCAACGACCAAATTGGTAACACTTATGTTGATTATTGATTTTTGGTGAGGCCTTCCTGATGATTCCAGTGGTCCTGTCAATATGTGTAACCAAAACGCAAAATACTGCAGATGCTGGAAATCTGAAAGAAAAACTGAAGTTGCTGGGAACCTCAGCAGGTCAGGTAGCATCTATGGAGAAATAAAAGTGAGTCAATGTTTCAGATCCACGACCCTTCGTCAGAACTGGGGCATGATGGGAGGGAGAGACTTTCAAGGACTAACAGAGAAGGGGGAGGCAGGGCAAGGAAGATAAAGGAGAAAATGGGGTGGGGGACGGGATGATGGGTTAAAGAGGGGTTAATGATGCAAAACGAAGTGGGGGATTGCAGCAAAATGGGAAAATAAAGGAAGGGAATTGAAACAAAACAGCCAGACCAGCGAGAGAAAAGGTGTGTCTGGGACCCAGATTATGTGGCAATGGTCACAGAAGAGGGGGAAGGTGAGCTGTTATGTTCTGAAATTATTGAAATCAATATTGAGGCCAGAGGGCTGTAAGGTCCCTAGCAGATTGATGATATGCTGTTCCTCGAGCTTGCGCTTTGGTTCATGGGTACAGTGAGGAGACCATGAATGGAGAGTTCAGAGTGGGAGGGAGAGTTTAAGTGCCAAGAAAATGGAAGCTTGATTTCACTAATTTCAGACCATAACAGCTCACATTCCCCCTCCTTTTTGAGATAGAACATAAGAATTAGGAGCAGGAGTCGGCCATTTGGCCCTTCGTGCCTGCTCCGCCATTCAATAAGATCATGGCTAATCTTCTCACCTAACTCTGATTACCTGCCCTATCCCCATATCCCCTAATCCCTCTATTTTTCAAGAATCTATCAGTCTTAGCCTTGAAAATGTTCAAGGACTGAGCATCTACAGCCTTCTGGGGTAGTGAATTCCATAAGTTCACTACCCTCCGAGTGAAGAAATGTTTCCTCATCTCTGTTCTAAGAGGCTGACCCTTAATTTTAAGACTGTGACCCCTGGTTATAGATTCTCCTACCTAGACATTAAAGATCCTCTGGTACTATTTGAAATGAGAGGGTGGTTTCTCCCATCGTGGCCAACAATCCCTCAGATAGAATTGGTCATTCACTTCATAGCTGTTTGTGGGACATTGCTTTGTGGAAAATTGCCAAATTGCCTACAAATACACAGTCAATACACATCAATAAACGTGAAGTGCTTTGAGATGTTCAACAACATGATAAGGTGCTATATCAAACGCAAGGAAGGGAATTTCTTTTGTGACATTGATCCTGGTCTGAAGTGGCTATTTTTATAATCCATTTCTGATCTCTAGAGAAATGACAGTAAATCAAATTGTGCATGTGAAAGTAGCATGAGATGAATCAGCACTGAGTCCAAGCACTATATTAAACACTTTGTACAGTGAACAGCTTGGTAATTGGGACTTGTTTATTCCATATGAGGCTGCGGGGATGGAGGCGCTGTGTATAAAATCAGAAGACCTCCGTGATTAAGAATCTGACCTTCCGTACTGCAGACACCAATTATTCTCTTGTGGAAGGAGAAGGAAAAGTCTCTTGTTTAGGTCAGTCATCTGTTTCTGTTTGCTATCTAAGTGGCCCAAAATAGGCACCTCTAATGATAAGCACATTGTGAGAATGTTTCTATAATTTTTGAGCAAATTAAACTTGTGGAGTATAGCAATGTCATACTGCACAAGCATCCCATAAATAACATGTTAAACATTTCAATTACTTGGGAATGTGTTGCATTGCTGGAGGTGCTGTCCCTAGGATGAGATGTTAAACCGAAGTACAGTCTATCTCTTCAGGCAAGACAATAAAGATCCCATGACACCATTTGAGAAGAGTTTATTCCGGTTTCCTGGCCAACAATTCCCCCAAATAAAATTGGTCGCTCACTTGATGGTTGTTTGCAGGACATATGTGTGCAAATTAAGTGCTGCATTCGACTACAAAAACACAGTCACCATCACAGTAAAATCCTGTGAAGCGTTTTGAGACATTTTAACTGCTTGATCAGGCTCTATATCACAGTCAAGGATTGCATTATTATTATAATAATCAACTCTGGCTTAAACAGCAGCAGAAAACCTTCCACTGTCAATTCTGTGCCAAACTGCATGATTTGTTGCCATCTGCAAGTATTGCAAACTTTCTGGTATAAATAATTAAAGGGCCTGCACTGAATCGTGGCAGAAGGTTTGCATTTCTGTTTTAAAGGTTGGTTGGTTTTCCAACATGCTGAGTTCAACTTTGTGCTCAAATCCTAGTCCTAAAGTACTGTAAGTTTGAAAGTACTGTATTGGATTAAGTAAATTTGAATAGTTGTGTGTTAGCCAATGGGGCAGATCACCAGCAGGTAATCTAAACTACTTGTTTGCTGGCAACGAGCGAAATCCTGAGAATGAGTTAAATAGACCGTCTGCCCAGTTCAGCTGGAACTATACTGAGTGCAGACAGCACAGAGCGAACCAAAGCAGCACTGTAAGTATAAATAGTGCATGAGAGCCTTTGATGTGGTCTAGGGTTCAAATTGCATTAGATGCTGCAGAAAGCCTGCGTGGCTGGAATATTCTGTGTAATACACATGGAAAGGGCGTGGCTGAAACAGACCGTTCCCTTGCTTGCTTGTAAATGAATATGGTCGCCCTGCGTCTGCAGTCAGACCAGCTCCAACTGCAGAGGCTCAGTCTGCGAGTCTGACTTGTTTGTACTTTAGTTCAGGAGCTATTGTGCCCACTTACGCAATCATGTGAGTGATTCCAAATGTCCTCGCTCCACAATAGCCTGGCATGATTGCCGTAAATGCAGATGCAAAGTCTTTGAATATAAAAGGAATGGGCGCAGAATAAATTGTGCCAAACTTGGCATCATAGACCAAGCCACATGAGCCATTGTATAAAACCAGAATAATTTGGGTGTCTGTATTTGAATTCTGTGTCTCCAGGATCTATGCTGTATTGAAAGTAACAACGTACAAGACCTTTTAGTAGTTTGCAATAGGAACTGCTCAAGATGAAAAGCTTGTTATAATAATAATATAATAATCCTTGCATTTGATATAGCACCTCATTAACTATTTGAGGCGTCTCAAATAGTTGTTGAAGTGTTGGATCTGAAATAGTCTATGGATTAGCACAAGATTTAAACGTAAAAACAATAGGGAAATTGATCTGATAGGATGGCACTTAAAAGAGCCAGCACAGACATATTGAGTCAAACGGTCTTCTTCTGTGCTGTAAATTTCTTTGACTCTATGTTTTCAACTGGGGCAGGTGTTTGTAGAAATACTCATAATACTCAAGACCATGGAGAACATCATTAAACTCATAGACATTCCAATGAATCCAAGGATAATGTGATTGAGAACGCTGCAGCTCGTATCTTCTCTCAAACTAAGCTCCATGAGCTTTCATCTCTCCTTCTACCTCACATTCACCCCTTTCTTGCCCCGATCCTCGCCCGGCTTCACTGGCTCCCCATTCCCCAGAGGATTGAGTTCAAGATCCTTGTCCTTACTTTTAAAACCCTCCAGGAGTCTTGCTTCTCCCTTCCTCTGTGACCTGCCAAAACATCTGTCCCCCGCCCGGCCTGCTCCACCATTCAGCCTTCAGCCATTCTGCCCCCACCCACTGGAACTCCATCCCGGACGGAGCCTCACTGCCTCCCTTGCCTCCTCCAAGACCTGTCTCAAGACCTTCCTCTTTGACCGTGCCTTCAGTCATCGTCTCACCCCCCCTTGCCCTCCACCCTTTCTGACTTAAACCCCCAGCTCGGTTCCAAACCCTTCATTGTCCAGAACTTTTGAGAATTCTCCCAACATGAAAGGCACTATATAAATGCAGTTTGCTGTTTTTGTTGATTTAGTGGCTATTTGATTCAGTAATTTAGATAACAATCAAGGAAGGCAGAATTTTACTTCGAAAGTATTTACCCAATTTAATTTAGGAACAATATGAAGACTCATTTCAGAGTATTATTTGTCAATTTCAAAATCCTAATTTTTTTCTG